GTTTGGAGTTTGTTTTGGATTGGAGGTTTCATCTAATTTTTTTTCCTTCCTCGATTGGATTTTGATCCTTTGGTTTCTTTGGAAACCCTCAGTTCTCCTTGTTTCCCATCGTTTTCGGGTTTCGCACTTCGCTTCTTGCGCATACTTTCCCATTATGTCACGGAGTTGGCCCTAATGTTTTCGGAGCATCCTTGCCACATGCAAGACACGGAGTTTGTTTCACATGTCCATGGCTCGTCCATGGCTCTTTGCCTTCGTTGGCTACACACTTGCCTCCCCGACTGAACTCTTCACTACTTTTCTTTTGTTGTTTATGCCGTCACGCCCCTTTCCTTCAAGGAGATGATTCAGTTCTCTTGTACATTTATTTGCATTAGCCATGCATTGACTGTTGAATTTTGTATTTTGCTTCCTATTTCTCTAAACCTTTAATTTATTACTCGTATCCTTGTCCATTCGAAATATATCACAGCTTATATATAGAAAAGTCCCTTGCACATAGTACGCTTTTTGTTTACCCCCTTCACATATATCTGAAGAGGCCTCTACAATAACTAGCTAAAAAGACATCACAAGGCCGCAAACGCGGCCAACTATTCTTGTATATATATAGGTTACATTGGACTGATCTTTGCTGTGTCTGCCTCTCAGGAGTACTTTGCTTTGCCCTACTTCTCGTTTGGATACTCTTTCTCCTCGGAGGTTCTCTATCCCCATAACATTTTAGTGTTTCGGGGTTATATGCTCAGAGTTTTGGTGCTGCAGTGCTTGAATGCTGGATGTACACATCCATTTACAGAAGTACCCAACATTTTTGGTGTCATTCCAGACTTGTGGTTGGGCTGTAGAAGTTTATGCTGACTTCCAGATACGCGAGTCGAGTCATCTGTAGTGTTAACCCTAAGATGCATGACTGGTTCACTGGTTCACTTAACCACCTTTCAGATTACTAGATACATGGAATACGCAAGTATGCACATTTGATTGAAATCTGCAGCATGATACGTGCATCATGTTTAATGAAACATTTTTCTCAAAAGGTTAGGTATTAAGCCCAAGCCTCCTCATCTTCGACCTCCTCTATCTGAACAGACTTACTCTGTTGCTTAAAACGCCGCTCCTCTTCTTCTAAAGTCAATGTCCAATCCTCCTGTGGCGAATCGCCAGCTTGTGCTTCTGGGGCGGGACCGGCATTATACCCAGCTTGCTCAAGCTTGTCCATCTCTTCCGGTTCCAACAACTTCCCCTGTCCCTTGATTGACTGTTGTTTCATCCTGACCGCAGCCGGAACAAACTTCTTTGTTGCCTCCTGTCGCAGGTCCCGAATCTGAGGCTTCGCTTCGTAAACAGTTCTGGCCGCTGGAATCGCCGTTGGACGAGATGGTAGAGGGTGAGGACCACTGCGCTCAACGTTCTGTTCTGAAGGCACATTTCCATCCCGTCTGCGCTGGTGCTGCCGCGGGATCGGTGGCGGTGTATCCCGCGGCATGGGTATCCTTCGCACATCGTCATCCGTGTCGCTGCTGTCACTATCACGGGGCATTCGTGTTTCATCCGAGCCTCGTCTTCTCTTCCCAAGCACACCGTCGCCACCACCCCGTCTAGCACCATCACCCTGGTGCCCCCCTCTGCCGCAATGATCGAACCGGGGTGCCTTGTCACCAAGAGCTTCACGCGCCTTCAAAACGCCTCGCAAATCCTTCTCCAGCGCTTCGAGGAGCTCCTTATCGCGCGGCCGTAGTTTTTGTCCTGATTCTTCGGCTTCTTTGAAACTGTTGATCTGGCGCTGAATTCGATCTGGGTTGCGGCGCGCAAGTTTCTCGTTTCGGCGCGCTAATGCCTCTGCTTTGCCTTTCTTCAATTCTTTTTGTTTATCCTGTTTCCGCTGTGCTGCGGCAGGGTTGATCGAGCGCTCCTTGTCTTTGGCCATGACGTCGTGTTGGTGTTGGAACTGGTGTGTGGGGGGTTTGTAATTATCGGTATGGCGTAAGCTAGCTGTGAAAGCCGGTAATAAATCCCTCGGGCTCTTGTCGAATCAATTCCAGAGATCACAAATTAGGTACCAGCACAAACTTTTGGGCTCTATGGGGGTTGTCGCAATCGAAGGATACGGTTTGAAACAAGAATGCAGGGCGCAGACTAGAAAAGAAAGCGCGCAATGAGGATAGTCGGTTTGTTTGTCTTGCAGAATAACAGGCGGCCAGTGCGGTAGGTCGCCTCGACTGGATCGATCGCGTCGGGCCGTCAGGTCGAGACTGCAGGTGTCCGGGATTGGGATTGGGTGACGTTCACAGGCCGAATGCTAGAAAGTCTATGAACAAGCGGTGTGTCAGGTAAAATGGCCGGTTTCAGTCTCTCAACATAGGCAAGTAAGTTTGAAAGTGATAGTAGCCAATTAAAAAAGTTGAGGATGAAGTTGAAGTTGGAATTTGGTGAAGTACAGACCCATGCGGCGGCGACCACGCAAGACTTCCCAAGATTAAGTCCTGGATATTTTTGGCTGGCAGAAAACTACACAGTCAAAGCGGAGAAAAGGGCGGTGTACCTTGAAGCTCCCAATCAACATTAAGGCCCACTTGGTCGCTGCAGTTCTCCGTAGAAAAACCCGGTAGGTAAAGTGGAGAGACAGCTACCATGGTTCGCAATTGGAACTACATACATCGTACATTGTACATCATGATATTCCATTTAGATTTATATATTTCCGAGAGCCTTAATAGAATGAAGAGTATCATTCCATATATATCTGTACATTATTGACTATTGCTCTCAATTCACTTATATCTCTAGTACAAATACCGCAGAGCCTCTTGATTCTCCCACCTCATCGAGATAGCTGCAGAGCCCAGCATCTAGCCTCGCAATATCCAATATAAAAACTAAAAAAACACAATCGAAGAAATAATTCCTGGATGAAACATGAGACAACCCTCTTAAAACACCCAATACAAGAAATACATCATGTACTAAATATTGCTTTTTTGGGACTTCCGTTCCATCTTCAAGCCCCTCTTTATGGGGAGGTCCGAGGTATCATATTTCCGCCTGAGCCTATGCCCTAGAACATATAAAAGAGAAATCTCACTAGCCTCTTCATTGGGGAGTGTAACTGGCTTCCCTGGAGCCGCGCGCTGTTTAGTTGCCGCCAAAGTATCAGCGGCTCACGCCTTCTTTCTCCGCCTCTTTTTCCCGTTTTGATTTCTCCTCATGAGGGAAAAAGAGAAGCTTCCCTCCCCTCTTTGACCGTCAATAGTCGCATTCCCCAATCTGACTGCAGTATATCGCAACCTCTCCTATCTACACCTTCCATCCTCCATCATGACCTGTGGTCCGTTTGGTCTCACATCGAGTTTGATCGGCGCTTCGTAGACTGTCGCGGTCGGAGCATGTCTCTGCCGGGACCAAATGTCCGTCTCAGCCTCGATTCCCGACACTTCGCTTGGCCTCACCTCCTCCGAGATCCAAATCCTCCGACAGCAACAGCAGATTGCCTTGCAGGGCGGCCATGCCAGCAATGGGGTGGCCAGGGGCAGAGGCACTGGAAGAACCAGCAATTCCAGCTCGCGCGCAACCAGCGCCGCCAGCAGCCAGGGCCGTTTACTGCTGGACCCTATGAGCCTCCGCGCACTATCGCATCAGCTGGACGGGTTGCAGGCTCAGATCAGTCACCGGATCGAATATGTATGTTTCCCCAGCGGTTCTTGACCGCATGTCCATATCATCGGGAAATCGCATTTCGTTGTTTTAACATGAGACGTCCTTGCTAGCTCGAGGATCAAATGCAGCGCTCCATCCAAAACACCTACGACCGCGCGGGAAACGTCATTCGCAATGCTGATGCCGAAATTGCCCGCACCCGTGAGATATTGGCCTCTATCGACGAGTTGGACAATGAGTTGGCGAAGATCGCTCATATTCGTGATATCGTCAAGTCATTCCGTGGCCGGATCGAGAACCTAGACCATCGCATTGACCAGAGTTCCCGGCGCCGACGATGATGCCTTCTCATATACACCCCTCCATATACTTCCTTCAAACAATACCTATCTCGAAGCGCCCCGAAAGACCGTGCACAGTCATGCGTTCTGCACATCTCACTTTTACTCGACCACTGGATGGTCCGACCAATACACACCTATATTTTCTCCACACAAGTACCGGAACAAGAACATACCAAAGCCGACAGAGCAAAAAGAAACGAAAACTATATACTTGAATGTGTCCTCACGGACTCTTTTCCTTGAATGCGCGCCAGCCACTCGTATTCATATATGTCACATTTCATTGTCTGAGTATCTGCTTTATGAAACAATCGGCTGAAAGAACTGCATGCCTCGCGGCACCATCAAGGCAAGACACTGGTGTTAAGCATGCGACCTCGAAAGGACTGCAATATTTTCAAGACTGCTCGCGCTGTGCCGACAACGGCTATGGCAACTCAGTTCACACCTAGTACTGGAAATCCATGAGGTTTGATGACTATCATGAAGGATTTTTAATGTGATTTGAAACGCATAAACACGACTCGTCTTTGTATCTTCTTGTTCGATTTGATCCTTTGCCATTTCCCCTGTTGTTTTGATTCCCCTCTCTGCATGTTGCGTGTACATTGCTTTGGGTTTTCCTTTTTTTCGCGTTGATTTTGGCCCATGTCCATCTTTGGGATGGTTATAGCTTGGCTTATGGTGTTCTGCAATATAATTGGGAACATTTTCTTCAAAACGACTGAATCGTACGTCGCATAACACTGGGTCCTCCAAAATTGACATGAAAATTGAAATGTCAGTGTCTGAAATCCAATATCAAGCAGGTCGTCTGTGTGGGTGTGGGTGTGATCGCTGAGGATATTGAGGCTACCCACGGGGGTTGAGACTTCTTCCTGCGATGAGGGTGGACATAATTGCCCCGATTTGATGGACACCATTAGAGCATGCCTGGGGTGTAGGATTCAATATATGGAAGTGACCTGACGCGTAACAGTTAAAGTTGGCGGGTGCGATTCACGTCACTGAGAGATCTGCAGCATCCAACATTGGCACATTCTCTTCACATAATTCGACTGTTTCTCCTTGCGACACCTCTGAGGTACGCACTTCTGATACATTCACGTCGTGTAGCAATGCCGAATCTTTCCCCTTGCGCCGCTCAGCGAGCTTTTTTCCAAGTTTCTCTGTCTGATGGAATCGCTTTTCAGTCCCGCATGAGAGGCACCGGATGACCAGTACATCGGCCCATGGCTTCTTGCCGCCGCGACTTGTGTTTCTGGTTTCATGCGAGCAAGTCACTCCCGGAATCAGGATTGTATCACAGCGCTTGCAGACTGATCTCTTCAGTGTGACCGGCAACCGAATCTGCGTCTTCATTGCAACGGCGCGTAAATGTGATACATATACCCTTGAGAGGTTTCTCAATGGTTCTAGAGTCTTCTTTTGATTCATAGACCGGACTTGTTGTTGGGTATTCACTGTGTGGTCATTATCCCCTGAGTCAACATGACTAGCAACTGAGGTGTGTCCATTGTTTTGAACTTTGGCGTTCTGACCCTGGTCGAGGGTAGATTTGTCTTGGAAATATGCGGCAGCTTGGTGTAGATAATCCAGCCGTGCTCGAATATGGCTCTGAGAGTTCTTGGAATTCTTGACTTCCTTTTTTCCTTTGGCTTTTGCCATTCTCGAAAATTCGACAGATCAACAAGTGGATCTCAAGGTTGTTTGCTGCAACCTGCAATTCGAGAAAAGCTACCCATTGACGCTAAACCAAAAGCGGTGAGGCTGAATGACCACGTGATACTCCCTTGGTGAGGTCTTCGTCCTACCGCCTTGTGACTTCTTCCCCTGCACCTTTGTCAATCGAGACCTGCCACATTCCCGCGGTCCATACTCTTCTCCTTACTACCTTTGTCTTCTTTTCACTTCAACCCCGCGTCATCTCTCTCTCGCACTACTTTTACCTCTTCCCCTCAAAACTCGCCTTTTTACGCCGCCATGTCTCACGAGGAAGATCTTATCGACTACTCTGATGAGGAGCTTCAGACCACCACAGCACCGGCCACTACTGCTGCGCCTGCCGCCACCAATGGCGATGCCGACAAGCAGGGTGACTTGACTGTAACCGGTGGCCGTCCCGACAAGAAGGGCAGCTACGTCGGTATCCACTCCACCGGTTTCCGCGACTTCTTACTGAAGGGTGAACTTCTGCGCGCCATCACCGACTGCGGCTTCGAACATCCATCGGAGGGTTAGTCTAACTCATTATTCCCACAAGCGTTCCTCCATTTGTCCAATCTCCAACGTCCGTCCATCCTCGCGGGAAGATTCTTCTGTCGGTATTTGGCAATCAGTCGTGTTTCGAATCTGCAGACGACATGAGGATTATTGCTCTTGAAAAAGGACAATATCCCATCACAATATATGTGTTTGGTCCTGTGGCGCTCTCGCGCTAAGCTTGAGCCTCCACCCCAACTCTCACGTATTTCGTGGAGAGTGGCGCACGCCGTGGAAGACTGTGATATTCATCACTTTTGTCTCCTTGTGAGGCGCACCTCATGTTGTCTGCAGAATATGATAGGATATCCACAAAAAGCATGGCTTTTGTATGTGACATACAGTCATGGTGGTTTGATCAAGCGGTGGAAGATGACCGCCCACATCGGTTTGATGTTGTCAAGGGATGGACGGACATTGCGAGACGGATTTTTTTTGCTTCTTCTTTCGTCGAACCCAATCTAACATCGGCTCCGCCTTCCAACAGTCCAACAAGTTTGCATTCCGACTTCCATTTTGAACGTCGATGTTCTCTGCCAAGCCAAGTCCGGTCTCGGTAAGACCGCGGTCTTCGTTCTCACCACCCTTCACCAACTGGAGCCTGTTCCTGGCGAGTGCCAGATCCTGGTCATGTGCCACACCCGTGAGCTTGCTTATCAGATCAAGAACGAGTACGCCCGTTTCTCGAAGTACTTGCCCGACGTTAAGACTGCGGTCTTCTACGGTGGTACCCCCATCCAGAAGGACGTCGAAATCCTGTCCAACAAGGAAACCCACCCCAACATTGTAGTCGCCACTCCCGGTCGTCTGAACGCACTGGTCCGTGACAAGAAACTGTCCTTGCGCAACGTGAAGGCCTTTGTTCTCGACGAGTGTGACAAGATGCTTGACCAGATTGGTACGTGCATGCGAGATACGACTCGATTATCACATCCCACTAACAGCCTCCCTCAGACATGCGCCGTGATGTCCAGGAAATCTTCCGCGCCACTCCCGCCGACAAGCAGGTCATGATGTTCAGTGCCACCCTCTCTCAGGAGATTCGTCCCATCTGCAAGAAGTTCATGCGCAACCCGCTGGAGGTCTATGTCGATGATGATACCAAGCTCACCCTCCACGGCTTGCAACAGTACTACATCAAGCTTGACGAGAAGGAGAAGAACCGCAAGCTGAATGAGCTCTTGGACAACCTCGAGTTCAACCAGGTCATCATCTTCGTCAAGAGCACTCAACGTGCTAACGAGCTGGACAAGCTGCTGCGCGAGTGCAACTTCCCCAGTATCGCGGTTCACTCTGGTGTCAGCCAGGAGGAGCGGTAAGTCCAACCAAGTTCGCCATTCGCTGCAGCAATTTGCTGACCCCCGTCTAGTATCAAGCGCTACAAGGAGTTCAAGGAGTTCAACAAGCGCATCTGTGTTGCCACTGATGTCTTCGGTCGTGGTATTGATATCGAGCGTATCAACCTCGCCATCAACTACGATCTTCCCGCCGACGCCGACTCCTACCTGCACCGTGTTGGTCGTGCCGGTCGTTTCGGTACCAAGGGTCTTTCTATCTCCTTCGTCAGCAACGAGGATGATGAAAAGGTCCTCAAGGAGATTGAGAAGCGCTTTGAGGTTGCCCTTCCGTAAGTTTCCTTCAACTCCAAGTTATAATAACTTTTAGAAAATCGCTAACCATTTTCGCAGTGAGTACCCCGAGGCTGGTGTTGACTCCACCACCTACATGGCTTAAACATGTCTAGGTGAAAACTTTGTTGATTTGAAATTTCTTTTCTCTTTCCAATTGTTATGGCGCACTAGCTCGGGTTTTGATATGTTTTTCTCCGCCGTTGGGCGCTGCCTCTGCCCTCCAGTGGTTTTGAAGTAAGGCACAACCCTTCCATGTATTCAAAAACAGCAATGGAAGCAAGAATGGGTTAGCCCTGCATGACTGTTCAACCGTATCATGAGCGTATCCTGGCGGGAATCTTAAGATCTCGATGTGAAGTTGCAATGTCATAGTCATCGACGTCTGCGAGACTAGTCAAAGCCGAAGACAGTCAGATAGAAATATGCACCGCCCTTCAGTCTTGGTTTCAACCAAATGACCCGAAGACCCTGCCAAGATCTGATCCAGCCAGAATGGATATAGACACCAGAATCCGAGAATTCAATCTCCGACCATCCGTGTTCCTCGTGTGGTTTGTCCATATCTGTCGGAGCCGATCCACCTGTAACTCTAGGGGCCTAAGAATAAACCCCCACCATGCAATGTATTTACGAGCTGAATATATGTAAGCGGTGGTCACAGTTCCAATCTGACTTGCAGAGTCTTCGTGGCAACTTTGGTCATCGATCAGTGTCAGCTCATAAATTGACGAAATAAGTTTCGTAGTTTCGCCTGCATGCTGCAGGGACAGCTGTCAAGCTGAACGTGCGGCAAGGAAATTAGCGATAATCTCAGGCGCCAAGTAGTAAGATATGAACGTAGATAGGTTATCTCGTAAGATTGTCAATACCTAGGTTTTTCTAACCAAATAATCCAAATAATATACTACCCCACCGTACTAGCAATCTAGAGAATCTGTTCTAGATATGGTTTTTCAGATATTTACCTTCCTACCCAATAACGACTGTTCCGTCTTCCCATTTCTCAATGGCAGCTTTAAGTCTACTGAAACTAGATCTTGTCACTGTCGAGGATAGCTCCTCCGTTATGGACCTTTGGTTCGCGGCATTTTCGGACCCTGGCTCACGACGGCTATTTCCTAATACTCCTGGCGTGCGAAAGTGGCTGGAAGATGCTATCTATCAAGATTTGCTTCAGAGACCTTTCCAGACCTATCTAAAAATTGTTGACCTGGGATCGAAAGGCGCCGATGGCCGACCTAGAATAGCCGCCTATGCAAAATGGGATTCGTCCACGCCTAAAGAACGTGGGCCACGCTATCCACCGTGGCATGACGATATGCCTAAGGAGCTTTGCCAAGCTTTCGTAGGTAGGGGTGAGAGCAATAGAAAGCGTGTTATGGGTGATCTAGGGCATATCTGTATGTTTTTTGCTCTCTGTTTCTGATTTGGGGGCTGTATTAACCGTGACATGGGTAAAGTTTTAGATATAGTCGCTACGCATCCAGATTATCAACGGCAAGGGGCTGCTTCTATGCTTGTTCAATGGGGATGTGATCTGGCCGACGTTGAGGGACTTGCTGCGTATGTGAGTGCTAGTAAGAATGGCGCCTCACTGTACGCAAAGTTTGGATTTGTTGATTGTAGTAATGCTGGACAAGAGACTACGTCGATGGCTCGGCGAGGGCAGAGTCAGGTCTAAATGGTGATTAGTTGCTCTTCCCTAATTTTCAAAATTATTGTATTGAAAACCCAAGCTGTCAGAGACACATACACCTACCTATATGCACACAGGAAAATGTCTGCCCGCGGGGACTTGCCGTCCACGACATTGCAGATTGAAGTGGTGAAACTGGTGTCCATCCAGCTATATCTGAACGGACCGCCCGAGACTGAGTATTGCTGGAGAAGCTACGGAGGAAAGTTGGGCATACATTTAATAGTATGTCGACGCTTTTGGGCTTTGGGGTGGTAGCGGAGAAGCTTTCTTAATTAAGATGTCGCTAAGATACTATTAAGTTCCTAGTAAGTGGATCAGAGCGCTTAGGTCATGCTCAGTGAGTAACTAGGTACAGTAGGTACTCCGTACCTATAACATCCATCCATCCATAGGCCCACCTGTGGTGATGCTCAGTGAGCAAGCCTGGTGATTATGTAATGCTCAGGGGCGTGCTGAGGTCAGTTGTACTCCTCAGTGAGCAAAAGTCGGCAAGGCCTGAGCACTAAAACGGAAAGGGAAGGCCAAGAAGTGGCAGAGGAAATCAAGTACATAATGTCGATAGAAAGTCCACGGCATAAAGCACGAATAAAGCACATCCATCAAAAGATCTTGAATATGAAACACAATTACCTAATGCATTACTCTGTTTGAGCTTAGCCCAAAGCACTAGAAGGTGGGAAGACACTGGGTAGCGCATTAAGAAAACAAGGCAGAGAGAGGTGGCCAAATACCCAACAAACCCTGTCTCGGTTTTTTAGTTAAATGTCTAGGGGGCTGTCCCGCTTCAGTGTCAGTTGTTGTTGTGAGTGGCTCTGTCTCATACCAAGGCGCGCAGAGTCTGCGGGCGTCTGCCGTGTGATTTGAAGATGCTTCATATTCGTAGCCAAGCTATAATGCACGGAGCACATACGAAGTAGCTACAATATTATTGTACCGAATACGGAGTACTCAGCTCTGTTTATGTCCAACTCCGCTAGCCTAACTAGACACAGCGAGAAATAGCGTGAGACGGAGTCGATCAGAAATTATGATAGGCCAATAGCTGTGCACTGATACGATCGAAGGACCCTCTTACG